TTAGATCGGAGGATGCTAGTTGATAGATTTATTTTCGATCAGGCATGACCTTGACTATTTACTATGCTTGCATCGGCTAAATAGCCGATCGCCCACACTTTAACGATCATAGCATGTTTTCCTGACCCTGCTAAATGTGAATAGATCTGTTTTCTTTAAAGGTTTAATCTATTATCTTTATTATGGCTGCCATCGATCCGGTCAAACCCCACTGTTAAAGGTAATAGGTTAGATTTGAGGAGTTTATAGGTTTGTTTGTATTGAACGGTCGATTGTTCATATGCTATGACCCTTTTTCTACCTGAATCGACTATTTTAGCCGATTTCGCTTGTGCTTTCACATATATAGCATATCTTTCAGAAAACCTGTCAATGTATAGACGGTTTTATGGATTCTCCAGTTTTAGTTTGTTATTAACATCATACCTGTCATCGATCCAGTCGAACCTCACTGTTGATAGTAATAGATTAGACTCAGAGCGTTTGTAGATTCATTTGTACTGGACAGTCGATTTGTTTGTATGTTATATCCTTTCTCGTTAGATTCATCGGCTCAATACTTTACACTGGTAATGTCCACCTAGCTGATGATTTTACTTACATCTGCGTGCATTGTACTTGTCATCATAAAATCAATCGCAACCCATGAGCTTTATAGTCCGTAGATAGTCGATTTCTTCATGTATCGGCTATTTAGTCGATTTCCCCATCTGGCTGCTCCCGAAGCAGCACACTTGGAACTGTCTGTGCAAAACCAGCATGTTCCACCTTAAATTACTGATAAACTTTCTCTCCTTGTCAATTGTAGGTCAAATTGACTGGCACGCCTTTGGGAGGAATTCGTAGAATCGGCTAGCCCTGCGTTGAAGCCAAGTGGATCTCCAGCCTTGCTCCATCAAGCAGATCCTTCCAGCTTGCTGTGTGCCAGGCGCATTGACATGTTTTTGCGCCGACAATTCCTCTTCCAAAGAGTGCATTGTATGGATAGTACATGTCCACCTCATCAAATGCTATTTGCTCTGTTCTTGCATTGCTTACTATTTCAAAAGAAACTGGCAAAATTATTCTTCCAATTGAGTGGATCTTTTTTCCACCGAAGCCATAAAGTGGATGCTCAACTCTTCCTAACATTTTGTGATCAATTTTCATGGTGTCAATTGTTGATGTGAATATAATGTCAGCGGAGCTGCCTCCATCAACCAATATTTTTTAGACTGTCCATCCATCAATGTTTGCTTCGATTACCATAGCATCCATATGTGGGTAATCTTTGAGTTGAAGGTCTTCTTCTAAAAATGTGATTGGTAGATAAGATCATCTTGTCTTCTTATATGGGCCTTCTATTGAAATTGAATTTACTCTTCGGAAGTAGTTTTTTCTTTGACTGTTATTTCCATGGTCCATGCTATTTTCACCCGTGATTGTCAATATTCTTCCTCTACTTAGGATGATTCCATTATTGTTCATTGCTGAGACTGATGGGGAGTTATTCTCTTGCTTGGCCTAGTTGTTTTGTGGGTTGTTGTTTGCAACCGAAGCTTTGGGTTGTGCTGATTGAACATTGGATTGCTGAGATTGATTTTGCCTCCATTAATTTTGCATGGGATGATACATTGCTAGTGGTTCATAGCTGTATGCGGGAGGTGGCCCTAGAAGTAGTGCTTGGGAATGTCCATAATGCATTGAGTAATAAGTTTGTTGAGAACTTTGCTATTCTTGCCTCACATGATTGACAATTTTTTATTGGCTTGGTGCCCTATTTTTTTCTTGGGCTTCTTCGATGCTTTTCTTAACTTTGGGACACATTTTAGATGTATGTCCAGCCCCTTTGCCATGAATAATGCAATATATATCTTCAGGTTTTAAAGATGCTTTGCCTCTTCCTCTTGTGGCAAAGCCTCCTATTTCAAATGTTCTTTCATTGAATTGACTTCGCTGGTTATATTGATTTTGGTGAGCATAATCACTTTCGGCTATTGAATTGTTGTCATTCTCAATTTGATTGACTTGATTGTGTGGTGTAAATGGTCTTCGCTCATAGTTGTTTGGTTTTGGAGGATGAAAGTTGTTGTTTTGCTTGATTTGAGCCCTGAAGTTGTTTTCTTCTTCGATTCTTTTTCTGTAGTCATCATCTGACTTGTAATATTTTTGAATGACTTCGTAAAGCTCAGCGACTGTACTTGGTCTTTCTTGAGCAAGATGAGAAGTGCATTGACCTACTCGAAGCCCTTTAATTGCAGCTATTATTACCACTTCATTTGGGATATTTGGAATTTGTGCCTTGATTTGGATGAATCTTTTAAAATATTGGCTTAGGGGCTCTTTGATTTGCTGCTTGCAATTGAACAGATCTATGTCTGTGAGGCCAGCTGGTTGAAATCCTTGAAAGTCAACAAGCAAGTTTGCTTTAAGTTGATCTCATGAATGTATGGATTTTGCTTTCAGCGAAGAGTACCATTGTTGTGCTGGTCCTTTAACTGCCATGACAAAAGATTTTGACAATGTTGTTTCATCGCCGCCTTAGAAATTACTGTAGCTTCAAAACTCATCATGAATTGCCTCGAGTCAGATTGGCCATCGAAAGTTGGTATCATATTAAATTTGTACCCCAAAGGCCATTGTGCTAGCTGCAAGTTTATTGACAAGCGAGAGCTTGTATCAATTGATATGAATGACTTTTGGGAATTCTTCTCTTGAGAAGCTTTTGTTGTTGAATTTGGTTCATCTAAATGTATAACTTCATGGCTTGCATTTTAGAGTTGTTCATTTAGTTCACGAAGGGTGGCTTCGGCTTCTTCTGTTCTTTGTTTGAGAGACTTTTCTCTTGCTCTTGCGCGACATTCTTCAAGTTCTTTTTGCTTTCTCAGCACTTGCTCTTCTAATTCTTTGAGTCTTTGTTCTTCGTCTTCGCTTGCTTTTGAAGAATTTGAGTCTTGGGGTGCATCTTTTTCGAGACTTTGGTCTTCGATTGTTGGTGGGTCATCTTCGGTTACCCCAGTGGTAACTTTCTTGTTAGGTCTGCCCATTAGCTTCGTGTGGTCGCGGGAGTTTTCGAGCACACACAAACAGGTGGGCGTTAGATGTTGAGTAAGAAATTACTCAAGCATCAAAGTTTGAACACAAGACAAAGTTGTATTCATTTCATGATCGTACTGTATATGTCAGAGTGGGTATTTATAGGGCCCCAGTCTTCGCATCTTACATAAAATGACTATTTTACCCCTAACTCAAATATTTACAACCCTTTTCAACCATAAAGGCCAAGTGGTCATTTTATACTACTTCAGTCTCCATCCCTCTATTTAGCCATTATTCTTCTGGGAAATTCTTCCTTTTGTCTTAGTCGATTTCTACCCTGCTTTTCTTTGTCTTCATTAATCAGCGAAGCCAAATCTTTACCCGCGAAGTTAAACTTCTGTCTTCGCTTTGGTCTTGACTTCTTCTTTATCTTGATTTCTCCTTCTTGGCGAAGTCAAATCTTTTCATACGAAGTCGAAATGTTGTCTTCGCTTTCCTTTTTCCTGCAAATAGATTTCGTTACGGAATCTCAAGAATTTAGCTCCAAAGTTGGGGCTGTGTTTTGTGACGAAGTTAAATTCCCAATAGGTTCACTCTATACAGTCCAGACAAGGAACTGATAGGATTGATGGGAACAGTTTTGAATTGTGGTAACTTAAAAAACTTGGAAATTGTTGTATACTAAGATCCAGTCTACACTCTACAGCCCAGACAAGATAACTGACAGGATTGACAGGAAACAGTTTTAATATTGGTAACTTTAAAAATATTCATGCAATTAGAAAACGTGATTATTGCAACAAACTGGTAATATAAAATTTATCATTGTGTCATGCTTGTCAAAGAAAAAAAACTGTAGTTAGGTACCCACAAAAAAACTGTAGTTGTCAAAGAAATAAAATTTCTCATGCAACATAAAAAATGCTCCGATTAATGACTAGCTGTAGCATAACAGAATTTACCTTCTTGATTACTGCATAGTAAATATTCCAAGTAAGAATTTGATCATAGATTGCTAGTGTAGCTGTGTGAAACAGAACCTTTGTTCCTAATAAGATATCTGAGATCTGGAGTTGTTCTTTCCCTAGTTTGCAACCTGAATTCAGTAACTGTAGCTGAATTCTGAATAATTGTAACTTCACATGACTGGCCTGAATTTCTACTCAGAATTTTTCTTCTGAAAGCATGGGATTCATGCTGGATTTTCACATCCATCGAGTGACGGAACATCATATGTAAACCAAACGTGGGAAAGCATATCCACAGCCCTTCGTTTCCCTTTCCCCAGGGGCGTCCTCGGGCCCGTGCGGGCTGTGCGACCGAACTGGGCCCCTAAAAATCATGGGCCCCAAGATTTACTAAGTATCCTAAGTATATAATAATAATTTTGGACTTTGTTTTAATTAGAAAATCAGCCTATGCTGTCATCCTTGCCCAAAAACGTGGCCTGCTGGAGGTGGAGCACAAGTCACGATCGTGACTTCCTTCCAGAGACAGAGCCGCCGTGGCGATTCCAATTTTTCAGGTAACCCTTCCGCCTTCGTCGCTTGGACGGACTTCCAATTCCTCGGCCTTGCCCTCGCCGTTATTCGTTGTTCGTCGCAATCTAGACCAGATCGGAGGCGCAGATCATCGGGTAAATTCCATGCCCAGCCCCTATTTTATATTTTTATTTAGTTAATCTTGGTCTATGCTCCTATACTTCTCAAGTGATGGTTATACAACAAGTATAATTCTTGGTCTATGCTGCTATACTTTGTAATATAAGTAATACATTGATATTTGCCATTATTTTATTTTTTTGTTTTGGCACTAGATATTAGGCCTCACTCAGTGTTCCGAACTGGGCCTCATGTTTTTCCGGGACGCGCCTGCTTTCCCACCTTCCGTATCCTCCCATTATCCAAACACCACCTCAGTCAGCTTGCCTCCTTAGGACGGACGGCCGGGCCGCACGCCATCGAGCTTCAGATACAGGCGCCATGGCTATGGTGGTAGGAGCAAGGGCGGCTGGGGAGCTGAGGCTGCCGACGGCGGTCCCATGTGGGGCGGTCCGCCCACGCTCGTGCGCGCTCCCTCGGGTCACCGTCCCATGCGGCGGTCTCCCGGCGGCCGGTACGCGTGCGTGCACTTCTCCCTAACCATCCATGGCTTGTTGAATCTGTCAGCGCGTCTCGAGTTAGCAATGCAAGAAACAGACCGCCGGACTGTTTCGTCGTTGGTAGGTACCGATGTGTGGATGATTCTAGGCTAACTTCCTAGCTTGATTTTGGCGGATGTGCTTGGCCATTCTTTTTTTTTCGCGACCGGGACTTCACCCGTTTTTCATTAAGAGGGATAAAAGTTTAAAACGGTACAAACCAGTAGCTGATGGCGGCGAGTCGCCAACATCAGACAACCAGCACAACACAAATCTAGGTTCCGCCGTCCTCCAGCGCGTCGTCCTTTGTCATGTGAGCGAGCCTCCAAGAATTTCGGGTGCCACTCTTTGTAGAGCTGAGGCCGATCACTCGGTTTAGCTTACCTCACCTTCACTCATTTAGTCAGTGTGTGTGTGGATGAGTGGAATGTTAACAGAAAAAGGTGCGGTCTCAAAGTCTGAACAGCAACCTCACTACTTGACCGACTGGACTTGTAGTCAGTATGGTTCTTCTTCAGGCGTGGGATCCACAGACATCAGATTTCCAAAAACATTATATGGAACATTCCATGTGCAGATTTTCAAGGCGTGTAATTTTGATAGCTAGGGTCCTTCCTGACTTAGTCATTCCTTTTGTCTTTCTCTTGTTATATATTTTCAGTGCTTTGCATGTACCCAGTAACTAACTAGAGGCCACGACGAACAACATTTACCACGTTGCTGCTTCCTATGGTGCCAATTGACGTTGTATCCACTTCAAGTCTTTGCTTGTTGATGTTGATTCCATATTTCCCAACTGACTTCGTGTCACCTGCGATAGGCCATTCAGAGCACGCATGTGCCTTATTTTCCAGCAGTCTTAGAGTTAATGTGACCACTAAAGAAATGTCGACAGTTCATTGCATCAGTTCTAGTTTTATGCCCACTTTTTTTAATAACAAAACTTCACATAGATGTGTTCGAGTTGGGAATGACAGCTCTCTTGCATTTCATTGGAGAATTGCTGCAATCGATCGACACTGAATTACATTGTGTTGTGGACTAAGGATAGTTTTAGCATGGCTATTATTAGTTGTGACTTGTCCCAGGTCATGCAACTAGTAAAAAATGGAAATAGTACATTAGGTTGATAGTGTGCCGCATATCATCATGACGTCACTGTGTTTGTCAAAGGAGCCTACAAGTTTGAAGTACACTGCAAAAGATCTTAGGCTCCAAGAGTAACTGGTGTGCTGTCACAATTTCTGTTTTGTCCTGTTTATCCTAGTGTTGAATATTCTGTACAATCCAATTGAACTAGCCAAACAGTTGGATTTAGTTAGCTAACAGTTTTGGTTAGGTTAGCTATTTGGAACTTGTTTTGAATTGTTGCATGTTAAGTTCAGTCTACACTACAATCCAAACTCTCCAGACAAGAATTGATGAGAACAGTTTTAATGTTGGTAACTTCAAAATCTTAGAAATTGTTTGGAATTGTTACATACTAAGATCCAGTCTACACTCTATGGTCCAGACAAGATAACTGAAAGGATTGATGGGATCCAGTCTATATTCTGTTTTGAAATGTTGATGCAATTAGAAAAAGTGATGATTGCAACCAACTGAAAGGATATTTCTTTTGCAAGCGTGGGATTCACGTTGGATTTCCACATCCATTGAGTGATGGAACATCCTCCAAGTCATGACATTTTACATCAGTGCATTTCAAGATGTGGGTTTTTTCAAGTCCTTGTTAGTCACTTTCTTTGGCCTTCTCGTGTTATTTTCAGTGTCCTGTGTTTCTCAGTATACAGGTTTCGTCTAAGGACTTCTACCATGCTGCTTCCACGTGTAGTGCATATAACTATGTAACCATTTCAAGATTTCCATGTTGATAGTGATCACATATGACCTGGCTTCATGTCACTATGTGCTTTGTTTCATTCAGAAGTAAGAATGCCCATGTGCCTTATTTGCAGCGATATTGGGAGTTACTGCACTAATCGAAGAAATGTAGACACTGTTGTCTGTTTGTTGCATCAGTGCATCACTACCAATTTATTGGCCATTTTTTCCTAATGAAATCTCCCCATGGACGTGTTCCAGTTGGGAAGGACAATAACTCACCCTGTTGACCACTTTTTTCTAACAATTTTTCTACATGGATATGTTCCAGCTGGGAATGACCATAGCTTACCCTTCTTCTGGTTGGAAATTACTGCAACTGGCAGTGATTAACATGATGCTAGTTGTGGATTGATAAGGATAGTTTTAGCATTTTTTGTAGAAGAAAAAGAAAAAGAAAAAAGAAAACTTGTCTGGCAGGGTAAGACTGCCCCCACAGTATTTTTCTTGTTTATGGCATGCAATAAGTCAAAACAGAACAGTACAATAAGCTGATGGTATTATCTCCTACATGGCTGCATTGTTGTGTTCGTCAAAGAAGGAGCCAGCCTAGGAGTTTGAAGTACATTGTAGATGAGCAAGTCTCCAAAAGATATTAGCTGTGCTGTCACAATCCTAATAATAAACATTCTATAATACTGTTCAAATATTCAAACAGTAGAATTTAGTTACCTATCAGTTTCTGCATCGTTAAGTCTGTTTGGAACTTTTTTTTCGAGGAAAGTCTGTTTGAAACTTGCTGTGAATTGTTTCATACTAAGCTTCAGTCTGCACTCCTATTCCAAGTAAACATTTTGGTCAGTTTTAACATTGTTAACTTAAAGATCACTCATTCCAAGTAAGACAAGAGAAACTTAATTCATAATAGGTAGCTGAAATCTGGAGCACTTGTGCTTAAATTTTGTGTCTGCACCATGTCACGAAATCGAAGAGGTACAAACTGGACGGTGACAGACACAGAAATTATTGACGAGCCTTATCATTGCTTGATGTTACTTGTTTACACAATATCACAACTTCATAAACTGCAACTTGTCTCAAAAAAAAAAAAACTTCATAAACTGCAATAACTAAGATGTCTGCAGTTCCCAGGAGGAATGTGCTGTCAACAATGCTCTCCACTTCGACGATCCTGCTCTTGGGTCCGAGACAGATCACCTTAGCAGAGACAACCGGTGGCGCATTCAGGGAGTACATCGACATATTTGATGGCTACACCTTCCTGTACCCAAAGAGCTGGATCCAGGTCCGGGGAGCTGGTGCGGACATATTCTTCAGAGACCCCTTCGTCCTCGACGAGAACATGTCGGTCGAGATATCGTCGCCTTCCTCGTCCAAGTACACGAGCGTCGAGGATCTCGGCCCTCCAGAGAAGGCTGCAGAGAAGGTTCTCAAGCAGTACCTGACGGAGTTCATGTCCACCAGGCTGGGCGTTCGGCGTGAATCCAACGTCCTGTCGGCGGTGTCCAAGGTCGCTGACGATGGCAAGCTCTACTACGAAGTTGAGGTGAGATGAAACAGACAGAGCTGCTGCAAATTTCGTTTGAGATTCACAGAAACGAGCTTCAGAGTGAAGATATGGCTTAGGCTAGTACAAATCAGAATCTGAATTCTATATGTGCTTGTGGTTTAACTGCAGGTGAACATAAAATCCTATGCGAGCAACAACGAGCTGGCGGTGATGCCACAGGACAGGATGCAGAGCCTGGAGTGGGACCGCCGATACCTGTCAGTGCTCGGCGTCGAGAACAAGCGGCTCTACGAGCTCCGGCTGCAGACGCCGGAGCAGATGTTCATGCAGGAAGAGGACGACCTCAGAAGAGTCATGGACTCCTTCAGGGTCATCAAGACGGCGTAGCTAAATATCACACAAGAGTCATGGACTTCTTCAGGGTCATCAAGACGGCGTAGCTAAATATTGCAATGGTTTGTCTATTGTAGAGTGCAGATGTTTGCAATGGTTTGTCTATTGTAGAGTTCAGATGTTTTTTTTTTATAGCTAATGCAAAGCAAAATTATAATGGCAGTCTTTAAATTTTCCCTTGTTCGGGACCTTTGTATCGGCAGAAATGTTCATATCACATGTACCTTGTTTGCAAATGTTGCAAAGCCTTAATCTGCTTCCATTCATGTCTAGTGGGAATAACCAGTTGCAAATGGAATGCATGTGCAGAATTCATATCAAGATGTCACAAAAAAAAATATAGAACCAATCAGTTGCATATGAAATCTATGCTTTTTTATATATAAGGTGTCTATATAAGAAGTTTAATATTGCCACTGTATCATGGACGTGCAACTTGGGTCCTACGTGCCTGCCGCTGCCTCCGTTGCATTGCATCCTGGCCTCACCACTCACCAGTATGACGCCAGAGGGATGTTTACACTCTACAAGCATCAAAATGTACCCCCTGCGAGGCTGCGACCTCCAAATGTGCCTCGAGTGACAAACCACATCTACATACTTTCTGCAAAGACAGCTTCACTTCCCGCGAATCAAGAATGAGTCGAACTTCAGTTCTTCGGGCCCACCAATTTCACATTAGTTCTGTTTTGCAGACTTCTTCCCCTTCTGCTTCTGTTTCTGCTTCAGTTGTGTGAGGCCAGGCGCTGTGATCTTGGCATTCCCAACGATTGCAGCCACCAGCTCAGGGTCTGTGCATGCCTTCATGAGCTCCTTCTCACGGTTGGTGGCATCAGGTGTGTGCAGGAACAAGCTCATAGCAGTTTTGGCAGCTGAAACCAACATACTTGAGCATCAGGACAACTGATATACCAGGGGAAAATGAAAACAAAGGGTGAAGCTAATAAACTTTTTTTGTCGGTTGATTGTCCTGAACTGATAAAAGAAGCATACCTTTCCCTTTCTTTGCAGTGCCTGGGGTAATCTTTACACGATATTTGTATGTCTGCAATGCGTTGTAAGGGGCACACACAGGTACAGCATATAGCAAAATATCACTCGGTAGTGGGTTTCCAGTTAAGTAGTCCAAATCAATCAACTTTTCTCTCTCTTCATCACCAATTTCTTGAACATCGTCTTCGTCCATAGGACTATTGCCACCAGCAGGCGCAGTATTGGTACCCATAACATCTCTGCTTCTACTGCCATCATTTCGGTCCACCTCAGATGTGCTTTCTGGGCAATCGCGAGAAAGATGTCCAGCTTTTTTGCATTTATAACATATTTTTGACGAGTCATCTTCACCTGTAAGAGTACAGGGTGTGAATGTTTTGAACTGTCAAACATGAAAAAATGATACTTCACACTAAAACTTTCATTTTCCAGTTCAACATGAGAGAACATTATTCAGCAAACTAACATTATATACTATTTGAAATAAAAGTAATCAACTATCAAAAGACTGATCAACAGAACATTCTGGCAAAATTGCTATTGTACAGAATAGGAAGAACAAAAAGCAGTAATCACTATCCACGCAAGGAGCTACTTATCACAAATAGAAGCCTGAAAATGAGAGGAAAATGTCAAAGTACCAGCTGATGGTTTTGATTCTTTAACAGAGGTTTCTTCATCTTGTGAAGGTTTGTCCTTCCGCAATGCTTTCCCAGATGACTAGCATGACAGGTACAAGGGAAAATGTTAAAACTTGCACCACGAAAAGGAAAGGACAATAAAATAGGAAAGAATATAAATGATGTTATTACCGCAAGCAATGCCATACGGATCTCCCTTTCTTCTTCATCCTGCTCTGCATATTTCTCTTTAATCTTCTTAAGCTTCCCTTTCTGTCCACGGCTTACTTTAGCATTAGCAGCCTGAGTGCTTCCCTTGCCCTTTTCTTGCTGTGAATTACCTGGCTGGCTTAATTTAGAACCAGTTGCCTTTGAGTTTGCCTTTCCTTTTTCTTGCTGTGAAGTACCTGGCTGACTTGCTTTAGAATCAGTAGCCTTTGTGTCTGCCTTTCCCTTTTCTTGCTTTGAAGTACCTGGTGTTTCTACAGCTTCACCATTTTGAGAATCAGTAGCAGTTTCACCATTAACTTGGCCCTTCTTCAATTTTCTTCTCTCTGCTTTCGATATGTATGGTTTGTCTCTTATAGTTGGCCTTTTCACTTCAAGATCATCGTCATCTTCTGCTAAACTTGAAGGGATGCTGGTGAGCAAAGAGCTTTTACCTGACACCTTTGCAGGGCCAAGGCGAAGAGTCTTATCTAGCAGATCATCAAGTTGAGATGAAACAGAAGCTTCGATTGTTTCTTCCTTAGAAACAGAACTTCCATTGTCCAAGGTTTCCTCAGCTTGGATTGTTTCTTCCTTAGAAATGGAACTTCCATTGTCCAAGGTTTCCTCAGCTTGGATTTCAGGAAGAAGTTCAGTTGAGTTGGCAGTACCAATATTACTAGAGAGATCAGGAAGCTCAAGATCATTATTTTGTTGAATGTTTGTAGTTTGCCCGCTTGTTTCATCTTCATGAGTTTCCTTGTTTGCACCTTCATCACTACCAATTTCTTCATCAGATTCAGGGTTACTTTGCTTCTTGCGAGACTCTGCTTCCATTTCTTGGAGGGCCTCATCTTCACCCCTAACCCTCCTTTCATTCAGATGAGATGCCAAGGAGCTCTCATCCAAGCGGAAGAGTATACCAAAGCCCATAACAAGGGGGTGAGGTGGAAGAAAATTTTTCTTGCCACGGATCATAAAACTACCAACAGTAAGGTACTCGCCAGTAGGAGCTGTCTTGCTAACTTGATGTGGATACACCCACCAAGCACTTGTAACAATTTTTGAATCCCATGCTTTGCTGTGGCAAACCTGAAGCAAGAAGCCAAGTGTTATGGTGGGCAACGTCTACACAAGGAAGAAGAAGGCCAGTGGCTGAGAAGTGGACCGGGCCAGAGTGCGGTCACCATCGCCACGGCACGCCTAGAGCGTCAGTTGCTAGATCCTAGCGTTTAGGAGAGTATTCAGGATATGAGTCATTTGGTTGTTATCCCTTTGCATTAGCTGAAAGTTGTTAGGATTGGAGTATAAGTATTGAACATTTGTGCTTAATAAAGATTAGCCAGAGAATTGAGATTATCCTCTCTCGCTCTTTGGCGCTGCCCTGTTCGGGTTCTTGTTCACGGTCCGACAATCCAGGCGCCGAGCACGGCGCCGCCGATCCGCCGCCGGGAAACCAAACCTCGGCTTTCCCCTTCACATCCCTATGACCTGAGATCCCGAGGCCGTAACAACCTGGTATCAGCGACCATGTCTTCCTCGGCCCTCGTCGCTCCCACCGCCGCCGCTTCCTCCGCGCCCCTCGCCGCCGCCACCACCACCGCCGCGCTCACCTCCGCCGCCCTAGTGCCCACCGCGCCGCTTCCCTATTCCCAGCCGCCGACGCCGCCGGCCTCTCCCGCGGAGGCGTTTAACGCATTGACGGCGGCCATATATGGAATGCAGCGCCAGCTCGGCGACTTGTCGCTGCGTGTGACGGCGCTCGAGGGTCGTCCATCGCCCTCTTCACAGCCGTTCCAGTATGGGCTGCCCGGGTACGGAGGCATCCCTGCATTACCGGCGTCTGGCCCGACCGTCTCGGAGTACGTCTCCGTGCCGTCCTACCAGCCGCCATTCCAACCGGCTCTGCCGCCCTCCAACACCCGGGCGACAACTGTTGGGGCCTTGTTGTCTCCGCCACCGCCATCATCCATGGGTGTTCCTATTACTCACATCTCGTTTCCTCCCTCACCTTCACCCGTGCCGTCCCTGTCGTCAATCATGCAGGGTGCTTCGTTCCCGTCGTCGCTGCCATGCCCACCGCACCCATGCACCTTGCACCAACGCTGCCGCACATACCGCCCGAGCCAGCTGGCTCGGCCGTCCCCCGCTTCCATAAACTCTCGTTCCCCACCTACGACGGCAAAGATGACCCGCTCGCTGGTTGAATAAATGTGAACAGTTCTTCTATGGCCAGCAGACGCGCCATGCCGACCGAGTCTGGCTGGCGTCCTACCACCTCACCGGCACAGCCCAACAGTGGTACCTAGTCCTCGAGAACGATGCCGGTCGACCGTCGTGGGCGGAGTTCAGGCTGCTGTGCCAGCAGCGCTTCGGGCCGCCGCTCAGCACCAACCATTTGGCGGACCTGGCGCGGCTGCCCTTCACGTCCACAGTGGACACCTACATGGAGGCGTTCCAGGCCCGTGCGGCGCACACGGGCCATCTGTCGCCACTCCAGAAGGCTCACCTCTTCACCGCGTCGATGTGGAGCTTCATGATCCGGAGGACCTTCAGCGCGCCATGCGACTGGCGCGTGCGTACGAGCGGCGTAACGCGCCTGCTCTACTCGCTCTGCCGGCGCCGCCGCCGCGCGCGGCGCGACGTGCCCCTGGTGGACAGCACGCGCTGCCTGTACCGGCGCCTTCCCAGGGACCTGCGTTATCTACATCCTCTTCATCGGCACAACCACCACGCGCCTTCAAACACTTTACACCGGACGAGATGGCGGAGCGCCGCAAACAAGGGCTCTGTTATAATTGTGACGAGCCCTATGTCCGCGGTCACAAATGCGCCCAACTCTTCTATCTTGAGGCGTCCGACTACATCGTCGAGGAACTAGAGGAGGACGACGTTGCCCCGGCAGCAGCCGCGTCGTCCCAGCCGCCGTTCGATCCAGAAGAGCCACTGATTTCTCTCTCCGCGATCACGGGCATCCGAACGGAGGACACCATGCAGCTCCGCATCCAAATCGGCGAGCATGAGTTCACGGCGTTGCTGGACTCCGGCTCGACCCACAACTTCATCAGCACTGCAACAGCTCGACGCGCCGGCCTCCATTTCCAGGACAGCCGCGGCGCCCACGTCGTGGTGGCGAACGGTGACCGCGTGGCGTGCCGTGGTCTCGCGCGCGACGTCGCCATCCGGATCGGAGAGGAGTACTTCACGGTGGACTGCTACTCCATCCCCCTCGACTGCCATGACATGGTTCTCAGGGTCGCGTGGCTGCGCACCCTGGGGCCTATCCTCTGGGACTTCGACGACCTTTGCATGGCCTTCACACACCAAGGCCGGCGCGTGCTCTGGAAGGGCATAGGCTTACTGCGCGCGGGACTGAGCTGGCGCTCCTGGAGCGCTTACTGGACGCCTACGAGGACGTCTTCGCCTCGCCGTCTGGTCCCCCGACGCGCCCGTGTGATCATCGCATTCATCTTAAGCCGGCGACCAAGCCTGTGGCTGTACGTCCCTACAGATACCCTCAATTGCAAAAGGATGAGCTGGAGGCACAGTGTGAGCAGATGCTTCAACAGGGCATCATCCGCCCTAGCACCTCTCCCTTCTCGGCGCCGGTCCTGCTGGTGAAAAAACAGGACGCCACCTGGAGATTTTGTGTCGACTATCGGGCGCTCAACACAGCCACAGTCAAGGATAAGTTTCCCATCCCGGTTGTTGAAGAACTACTGGACGAGCTGCACGGTGCCCGCTTCTTCACGAAGCTGGACCTTCGGTCCGGGTACCATCAGGTCCGTGTCCACCCTGAAGACGTGGCCAAGACGGCGTTCCGCACTCACCATGGCCATTTTGAGTTTTTGGCCATGCCGTTCGGCTTGTCCAACGCGCCCTCTACGTTCCAGGCACTGATGAATTTCGTCCTCAAGCCGTTCTTGCGCCGTTGCGTCCTCGTCTTCTTCGACGACATCCTCATCTACAGCGCCTCATGGACCGAACACTTGCAGCACCTCCGCACCGTCCTTGACGTCCTTCGTGAACACCAACTGCACATCAAGCGCTCCAAGTGCGCTTTCACCACCTCTTCGGTCCAGTACCTGGGCCACATGATCTCCGCCGAGGGTGTGGCCATGGACGAGGCCAAGGTGGAGGCAGTCCAGGCCTGGCCATAGCCACGATCGGCGCGTGGCCTGCGCGGCTTCCTGGGCTTAGCAGGCTACTACCGGCGCTTTATACAAGGCTTCGGCACCATTGCAGCCCCGCTCACCCAGCTTCTCAAGAAAGATGCATTCCATTGGTCTGACGCGGCTACCTCGGCGTTTGCGTACGAAGAGCGCGCTCGTCACGCTGCCCCCATCACGCACTGCGCCAGATTTAAAGCAAGGACTTTGTGGTGGACTGTGATGCTTCAGGCTCAGGGTTCGGTGCGGTGTTACATCAAGGCGTCGGACCGCTGGCCTTTTTCAGCAAGCCGTTTGCCGCGCGTCACCTCAAAGTGGCCGCCTACGAGCGTGAGCTCATCGGGCTCGTGCAAGCTGTTCGTCACTGGCGTCCATATCTGTGGGGGCGCGCCTTCGTAGTGCGCACCGATCACTACGCGTTGAAATACATGCTAGATCAGCGGCTGTCAACGATCCCACAACATCAGTGGATCAGCAAGCTTTTTGGTTTTGATTTCAGGGTCGAATATCATCCGGCAGCTCAACACCGTGGCGAGGCGCTCATCACGCGCCGACGACGGCGACGAGCCTCTCCTGGCGCAACTCCTAGAGGCTATTTCGTTACCTGCATTCAGCCTCTACGACGAGCTGCGCCAGGAGCTCACCATCAACGACGCGCTGCGCGCCCGGCGTGACGCCGTCGCTGCAGGTGACCACGGTGACACCTGGAGCGTCCGCGACAGCCTCATCATCCACAAAGGCCGTGTCTTTGTCCCCAACACCTCGGCTGTCCTCCCCGACGCCCAAAGCTCGCCCCCACGGTGGCCACGAGGGCGCCCGAACGCTCCAACGTCTCGCGCCGATTTCGCCCCGACCACGACCATCGCCGCGACCGTCGCCGACTTCGTGCGCTCGCTCTGTGCCACTTGTCGGCGGAACAAAAGCGTCGGGCGCACCGGGCCCGCCTTCTCCGGCCATTGCCGGTCTTGCCGCCCCTCCGCTCGGGCGGACATTGCGATGGACTTCGTGGAGGCATCGCCAAAGGTACGGCAAGAGCGTCATTCTCACCGTGGTTGTGAGTTCTCGGCATCGCCCATTTCATCCCGCTCGGCCACCCCTACACGGCATCGTCAGTCGCACGCGCATTCTTCCACGACATTGTGCGCCTGCACGGTTTCCCCGAGTCCATTGTCGCGAACCGTGATCCGGTGTTCACCGGTCACGTTTGGCGTGATCTCTTCCGGAGGGCCGGCGTCCAGTTGCGGATGAGCACCGCCTTCCACCCGCAGACCGACGACCAGTCCGAGACCGTGAACAAAACAATCGCCATGTACCTTCGTTGCATCACCGGGGACCGGCCTCGGGACTGGCTCGACTGGCTTCCGTGGGCAGAGTACTGCTACAACACGGCGTTCCACTCGGCACTCCGCACAACGCCGTTCACGGTGGTCTATGGCCGGGCTCCACCAGCACTGCTGCCCTATGAGCTGGGCTCCGCGCGCACGGACACCGTCGACGCCCTACTGTCCAGCCGCGACGAGTTTCTCCAGGAGGTATGCGCTCGCTTGCTCCAGGCGCAAGAGTACGCCCGTCGGCACTACGACGCTCATCATCGCACACTGGAGTTCTCCGTGGGTGACTGGGTGTGGCTTCGGATGCTACATCGCCCTACCCAGTCACTTGTTCCCGGCAGCCGCAGCAAGCTTGGACCCAAGTATGCTGGGCCCTATCAAGTGTTGGAGCGCATCGGCGCGGTGGCCTACCGGCTCCAGCTACCGGAGGGTGCACGTGTACATGATGTGTTCCATGTGGGAGTCTTGAAGCCGTTCCGTGGGGATCCTCCGGCATCCACCCCATCTCTACCACCTCTTCAGCACGGTCGTCTTTTGCAGCAGCCGGAACGTGTCTTGCGCTCCAACCTCCGGCGTGGAGCTTGGCACATTCTGGTCCAGTGGGCGAACATGCCGGCCTCCGAAGCTACTTGGGAACCAGTGGACGCCTTCCGCGCCGCGCACCCCTCCTTCCAGCTCGAGGACGAGTTGTTTCCCGAGGGGGGAGAGATATTATGGTGGGCAACGTCTACACAAGGAAGAAGAAGGCCAGTGGCTGAGAAGTGGACCGGGCCAAGGCGCCGAGCCGGGCTAGAGCGCGGTCACCATCGCCACGGCACGCCTAGAGCGTCAGTTGAGCGTCAATTGCTAGATCCTAGCGTTTAGGAGAGTATTCAGGATATGAGTCAGTTGGTTGTTATCCCTTTGCATTAGCTTAAAGTTGTTAGGATTGGAGTATAAGTATTGAACATTTGTGCTTAATAAAGATTAGCCAGAGAATTGAGATTATCCTCTCTCGCTCTTTGGCGCTGCCCTGTTCGGGTTCTTGTTCACGGTCCGACAATCCAAGCGCCGAGCACGGCGCCACCGATCCGCCGCCGGGAAACCAAACCTCGGCTTTCCCCTTCACATCCCTATGCCCTGAGATCCCGAGGCCGTAACACCAAGATCATATGAGCACTGACTTTTTAAAGGTATTATCCTAAATGTTTAGAAATAATCTTTAACTCACAGTGAAGCATCCTGCTTGGTTTAATGTTAACGGTGGAATAGGAGTGTCAGGTTTGTGATTCTTGATTATAGTACTGGAAGCTCCATGTAACTCGGCATGCACATACCTATTCAAGATCCAAAATCAACCAGTTGCTTCTATGACAAATTCACATATCACAGCAATACAAAACTTATGAGACAGTGGAAGTTATATTTTTTCGATGATCAATTGTAAAATATGACACATTGTGAAAAATAAATGCATTAACATGATAATATGAAAAAAAAGACTTTACAACGAATCCAGCAATACTACTCTATATGATCAATCCAAATATTTTTTCTTAATTAATGGTCAAAGTTAAAGAGACATTTTTTTAAAATTGTACTCTTGACTGCATGCTTACTGTAGAAAATATATGTTAGCACACGTTATCAATGACATTGAAGGACTTCTTGTGACATACCAGCATAGTTTTATATTTTATGTGTACCTTCATATATCAATATTAAAAATTAAATAGAAGCATTCTAAACAGGAATAAGGATACTTACAGATCTCCTTTGGACATATAGCGCTTCACAATCAACTCGTTTTGTTGAGCATCTCGGCCACTGATAATCAAGTAGTTTTCACTGCTGATGAACCAATTGAATTTCTCAAACCAGTGAACTTTGCGCATATGAGTGATTGCAGCTACCGTTTTTTCCTACAGGTGTCCAGGTATAAAAGTTATGTCACCATCGAAACAAACCAAAAGACAAAATAATTGCTTCCAAAGGCAGGTTTGCCTTTCATTTAATTATCAGCCATTCTTATGAACTGTGCCTCTGCTATCTGGGATGAAAACCAACTGAATATTGTTGGGTTTTTTCAACAGTAACATATAGCATAAGGTTTTTTGTGCAGGGCCCAAAAAAATCTGAATCTTAACAGGGACCAAATATCAACAATCAATTTTTGCGTTGCAATACAAGTCTACGCCTATGTTATAAAAAAGTACCTGAGCAAGCTGAAGGTGTGTCTTCTTCTCAGCTGCTTTAAATGCTTTCTCATGAGCTGTGATAGTCTTCTCTTGTTTACTTTCCTGTTTCTTCTTCATTTCATACCACCGTCTTGCATTAGCATGTGCAGAAAGTGCTATATCAACCTCTACCTACAGGAATAAAAAAGACTCAAGTTGATAAGAAAACAATGTGAAGATAACGATATTGCATTGTAAGTTAACTACTGAAATATAGTAGGTACATGTAAAAAGACCAAAAATGTATCACGAGTTTATGGGTCAGCATAAATTAAATAAAATCATGAAAAGTAGTAAAGTACTTAGCACCATGATGTGGCCTGTGGGTGTACCGAGAAATACTATACGTTGCTTGTCGCATATGTAACTAGAAGTCATTGATCCAAACATTTTTTTGGATGAAACATTAGTTTTCTTCTTTGTTAAACATTTTTTCTACCCAAGTACAACATTTTTTTCTTTGAATAATGGAACATTTCCTTTTCCCTTCTCGGTGGAATAAAAAAATCTCCCCAACTGGAACAACTTTTATCCTTTTGTCCCAGCAAAGAAAAAACTTGTTCCACAAAAAAAAACTGTTCCAGCAGCAGCAGAAGAAAAATGTTAGGATCTCAGCATAGGTGCACGACAAGATGAGTTCCAGTCGCATGTGCGACATATAACACCCCACGATAGGGGTGGTGCTTATCAAGTAAAGTACTTTACATGGCTGTCTTTAAAAAAAGGTAAAAAAAGTTTAACTAACCAAAACAGAATGTAACAGGGGAAATAAACATACATAGTTACACAAAGTATGCATAACACATGACTAAATCTCCTCCCAGGAACATCATATACAAAGAACCATAAATTAGAAAGTGCCAACACAATTCCATATGCATCTGTATAACATACCTTTTCCACAGGTGCAGTTTTTTCATCCTCATCCATGTCATCAAGATTATTGCTCAAGAGTAGAGTGATACAATTTCTTTCAAAATTTAGTTTATCAATAAGGCCTGCTACTGGGTTTCCAGCCTTTCTTTCCTCTTTAATCATGCGAGTAAGAACTTCCCAACTCATTTCATTTGCAAGAGAAACACGCACAGCCAAAATTGCTGCATCTACATCCTCTAAATTGTATTCAATTAGTTCTGCCATTTTGACACAATGGTCCACTTCCTTCCTCAATGTATGCACACGATTCTCCTGCATGGCAGAACAGAGGAATGGACTATCATATCTCCTAACATATGCATCAAACAAGTAATAATAATCCCCAACGGCAAGAGAAATACTATGAGAAATGCAATAGCTGAATTGCATATGTGCATTAAAAGTGAGGTGAGATACCTGATCCAATTTTATTTTATTCAGCCTCTGAGCTGCAGATTCTTCTTTTGCTTTCTGCTGTTGATTCACCTTTTGACTTTCTATTTTGCTGTAGAACTCATCTAGTGCCGCATCAAATGTCGCAAATTCATTATATTCCCTTGACTTGAATTGGTTCAGCAGAATAGGGAAATATTCATCATATATCTGCATACAGGAAGTCCTTCTTAAGCACAATACCCGGGGGGTGGTCATGACCCCTTGCAGGCCGAGTTTTTTTTTTTTTTTTTTTTTGCATACAGGAAGTCAAAACAGTTAACTATCAAAACATTATATCAATCAATCAGATGGTAACGTGCAAGTGCCAGTGCCTAATAATAAACAAGCATATATGATATTGTGGGCAACAAACATTTCTTGTGCATAAAACAAAAAATGTAAATCTGCTCACTCAGTTCCACAACAGTAACAAACCAAGCAAGGAGTAAATTATACAGACCTTATGATTAGTTGAAGCCTCTTCCGAGGGTGTGAGGTTCTTCTTTGCGGTAATCTTATTCTGCATGAGAATATAACCCTCAGGAACCTTTTGGCCAGATATAATATCTACAAGCCAGTCCTCAAACCTTGTAATAGATTCCATTAAAGCCTGAACAGTGCTGTCATCGATAGTACTCTCTGGATCTTTCCCAACCTTTGTACTTGGAACCAAACTAGCATCCAATATGATATGCTCCGCTAGTGCAGGGCCATAAGCCAGTGCCTCACCAAGAATTGTCTTCAGGGTAGCTTTATTGGATTGAGCACCATTATTTGCTTTTGCATTTGAACCAGACTGCTTAGCTTTTGCAGCGGCCTTCTTTTCTTTTCTACTCAGTGATTTTTCAGATATTTCAGTTACCAACACTTCATCATTGGTAGATTGAGAAGGTTCCTGAGCATCAGTTGATCCAGTTGTAATTTCCTCTTTATCATCAGCCTTATCAGGCACGGTCAACATGTCCGTTAACTTTGCAAAGTCAGTCCTGCCAAAAACACGGCAAGCTTCTACTGGATAGCGATGACGTGACATGATGGCCAATCCTTTGTTGTCATCTCTGTGATCCATACAATAGAAAATAAATACAATGAACACAGTATATATGAAAGAAAAGTAAAGAGCATCCTTGCATTGCATGTTAACTCTGATATTTTCTTGTCCTTGGTCAATACTGCTGCAGCAATGGTAGTACATACTAAGTACAACTTATCAATCAGGCAACAACCTGTGAGAACGTAGTAGTGTCATCACTGTGTATTCTGAATCCGTGAGAAGAATATTTCCTTGTGCATAGAGCTCCAGAATTATGAAATGTGCATTACTGCCAAGCCCAAATTGGAAAAGGATAATCTGCACCGACAAAAAAAATTGGCTCTATTAAATGGCCAACGAACAACAATACAAAGCTGCTGGCGTGAAATGTTTATCTGAGGAAGCGAAACTGGAGCAATACCCTGTCATATCCGAGCATACGGACATCTTCAAGTCTCTTGTTACGAATGTGCTTTCGTAGTTTAAGAGTGAAACCCGAGGGGGTGGTGCTCTTGTCGCTGCGGAAATGCATACACACAAGGGTGTAGGCATTAGTGTTCCAGAACAGGGTGATGAAGCAAACATCGATCAGGGCAGTGAGTAGAATCTCACCGGACGTATTGGGTGGTGTGGAACCTGACACCACTCTCCATGAGCAACAAGACCCTCTCGCTTTCCCCTGATTCAGTAATCCCACTGCTGTTCATAAGCTTGAAAAGGTACGTCTGTCCAAGTGCAGAAAGATGTCACTGAAATTACATCTGTAGTTCTGTACTAGTATCATCATCATATATAGTAAAAACACAACTAGATGTGTGAGACTGCCGAGAACAATATGATCTGTTTGTATGATGTACTGGTAATACAATACTTTTATTAATGGCCCAAAGAATTGAGGCAGCTAAGCCTTACTCAGAACTCAGAACAGATCGAAAGGCAAGAACCACCAGGTTGATCCTCACAAAATACTATTGAAGCGACACACAAGAATCTTGTATCCCACAAAACTGCACCTAAAATGTGCATCAAGAGCCTCAGCGAACCAGTTCATAGCGTAATCTATTGATTATGTCATATCTTACGAGTGGAAGCACAGGCTACATCAACTACTGAAAAAATAACACAAGGAAAAACTCATAGCATACGGAGTCACCAGTGGCGCATCAAACTAAGGGGTTCTCTATGCCCTGGGCTCACGCTAAAGTTTGCTAAGTGGCAGCACCACTGGTCGAGCAGACTGAAATCCAGTACAGATTACAGAATCGCCTCCTACGCCAGGCCTCTACCGATCGCGGCGGCGGCGGCGGGCAGAGCAGCGAAGGCAGGGGACGGGGAGCCAGCTAACCTTGGGGGTGATGTCGTAGACGTTGGCGAGGCGCATGCCGATGAGGCGGCGGAGGCACTTGACCTCCGCCGCCACGTCCGTCGTCGTCATCCGTGCCTTCACCATCTTGCCTCACCCGCCGGTGCTACGGCAGCGCCGCAACCTTGGGGGGGCTTTGGCTTCCTTCCTCCCTCCCGGAGATTTCCTCCCTTCTCTCCGCCGCCTCCCGAGCTCTCTCCTCGTCGGCACGAGTCGGGCTCAGCTCTGGTTGCGGCCGCCCACCCACCTGAACCTGGAGTGGCGAAGGACGCCGCCGCCGCAAGGACGAGATGGGCCGGTCCGTTGTCCGTGGATCGCCTATCCTCTTGCCTTTACGTCCAAGGCCCTTTTTGTCACTGAAGCGGGCCGCAGGTTACGGATCCGTTATACAGGGCCCATTCTCTCGTTTTAACGTAGACCATCAAGCCCAACAGACAGTTTTCTTCTTCTTTTTTACGGTATGGCTATGATTAGAGCGTCCAGGAGCCCCTGGGAACGCTAGGTGACCTCATGTTGTCCATATTATTATATCCATCACATTCGATATCACCCTCTCAAGTAGCCACTCAGATTTATCCTCTCTCCCCCTCCATGTCTCTGGGAAATCACATAACACCACCGCTGCCTCCTTCCTCCATCTAAGCCGACCACGCTGCCTCCTTCCTCAGCTTGCGCAGTGCCACCCCCGCCTCTTCCTAAACCCCAGTGCCGTCGGGATGCCTCGCCGTCGTGGGGCCGCCGCGCGCTACCCATGCCGATGCCCGCTAGGCACGTGCCGGGGCGCCTCAGGTCGTCCCGGCCTGAGCCAAGGGCACCCACAAGCGCGCCCAGTGCTGGTGGTGCTCGCTCGCTATCGGCTCCCACCCCGACACCAAGAATCGATCGGCCCTGACCTCTCCCCCCATGTTGCGAATGCTTGTTTCAAGTGTTTCAGTTGTTTCATATGGATGTTGCAAAAATAGATTGGGATGTTGCAAGTGTTTTAGAGACATGTTGCAAGCTTTTCTGTTCCCAATGTTTTATCTTTTTTTTCAGACGTATGTTGCAAGTGTGTTTATTTGGATGTTGCAAGTGTTTTATCTAGATATTGCAAGTGTTTTACAATGGTTTTAAGTGTTTTTTTACGTGTTTTTGCAAGAGTTTCATCTGTTTTCAGACTTATATTGCAAGTGTAGCATCTCGATGTTTCAAAAGTAGATCGGGTATTGCATCTCCCTCCTCGCCTTTTGTTGCCTCGTTTTCAGGTGTCTTCTCCTCCTCTCGGTGTCGGCTGGGCATCCGAACCGAGGGTGACATTCAAGGGTGTTCTGAGCGGCGTGGGCCCCCGTGTGGGGCGTTTTTTTATGTGTGTAAAGAGCCGAAGAGGAATTGTTCATCATTTCGAACTGAAGATTCATGTGATGTTTTTTTTACGGAGCACAAGTTCTTATTAGAAGCTCGAGTTCTCTGAGTTTACTTGTTCATTTCATCGTGTTCCTAGTAGCTACTCCTAAAATTCGGTTTATGCATGTATAAACCGTGAATTGACGAATGTCCAACGCATCTTGCGTTGGCAGAAAGTGATTCAGACTTTTACTCTTTCTTAACACAAGGACACATATGTGGCTCTCCTACATACGTACGTATTCTAAGGTTGTGTTTGGCGCGGCTTCTGGGTGCTCCGGTTCCGCTACTGTAGCGCAACTGTAGCGGAGCCGGGAGAAGGATCCCTTCGGCAGCTCTTTTGGCTCTCCTCAGGGCTGCGCAGGAGCCGGAGCCTTTTTCTTGGTCGCTACAGGATTGCACAGGAAGTAACATGGACGAAGGAGCCGGAGCCGAGCATGCAGGAGCCCAAACAAACGGCCCCTAAGAAAATGTATGTGGGAGCAGACAGTTCTTGATCGAATGTGTAGCAGCATTGAGAATGATTGGTCAGATGGTTTGAGGGGCAATTGCATTTTTTTTTTTTGAGAAAGACACTCAAGAGAGTGCCTCATATGTGATACATATATCAAAGAAAACAATAGCTTGTACAAAAGGACAACTCGACACAAAATAACCTCTATACAATAAAAGTACGTTGAAGTTCAAAATGGTCATCTTCTTCTTTTGGTCGTCCGTTCCCAGTCGAAGATCGAAGAACGTAAAGAAAAGACAGTATCAACCTTTTGTTTCCTCGTCTCCTGCCATGCTGCACCTGCCGCTGCTGTTTCTGCAAAGGACATTGTAAGGATTACATCTTCAAATTTGAGCGCCCCCCCACACCCCCACCCCCACCCCACCCCTCGCGGTAACCAGCTGTTAGAAAGCTTCAAATTTGAAGGGCAGAGCAGTTAGAGAAGAATTAAGCTAGGATTTAAGGGCCAAGTAATCAGAGGAGCAGGGTTCCAAAATGCTTGCAGTTGCATCTAGTATATTTAACTTCAAATTTGAAAAAGGGAAAACAAATTATTATTTCACTGAATAAAATGGACCACTAATTTGTTTGCATGATTGTGCCGCAGCTCTTCATAAGCGCTAGTAAGTAGAAAGACAGAAATACATGCGGATACTTGTGATTAAGAGAAGAAATCAAACCTCAACAATGACTTATGCTTTGAATCATAAGAACTGAACTCCTCTTCCTCCAGTTTATGCTCCCCGTCCTTCAAAATCTCTTCTTCATCCCATCTTCTTACATCAAGGAAGAGCTCATCAGAAAGGTTGCTGGCTGCATTCTTGACAGATTCCTCAACGGCCTCCACCTCCTTAAGCCACGCACCATGACAAATAATCTCAACTTGGATATGCCTTAGGGAAGAGAGGTGCCAGATTCCAAAATCCAGAACACCGTGCAAAGAGCACACACCATGTGCGTTGAATGGAATCCGGAGTTTTTCAAGCATTGGCATGGCTCCTGGTTCAAAAGTCAGCCCTGTACCAATTTCCCAACAGGTGAAGTAGAACTCCTTCAGACAACGGAAACCATTGCTGCTGACAATAACCCCTTCTTTAGGCTTTGCTTCTCTTGAGGATATCCAGAGAAATAACAGAGAGGGCAAATCCCCCACGGTTCGAAATGATTCCTCATCCACTGGAGTAAGATATATGTCTAGGTAACTGAGGTACTCCAGTGAGATCATCCAGTTTGGGATTCTAGGAAAATAGTAGTCTATGGACATATCAAAATTTTGGAGGCGACGGGGCGGAGGAAACCAAGAATCCTGTAAGAAATCAAGGGAACAACTATGATAACTTTGAATCTGTATCGATCGAAGATTGAGCATGCCTAATTTGCAGAGGGACATAACCAAACTATCTGCATGGATTTTTGTTACATAATTTGTATCGATGATGCACCAATTTAGCCCAAGAATTCTTATATTAGTCAATTTGCCAAGTTCCAGCAAAGAAGACACTGATGTATGACAATTAATTTCAATCTCTGATAATTCCTGTAGAGCTTGCATGTTTCCAATTCCTTCAGGCAATTCTAAACTGTTAACCAACAGGCATGTCAATCGTCGTAGGAGAACAATACTCTGTGGCAACCTTTTAATCCTTGTCCACCTCAAATCTAAGGTCTGCAAATTTTGTAGATCTCCTATTTGTTCAGGAAGTGCAGTTATTCTTCTTGAACTGAGTCGGAGGTACCTCAACTGAGAAAGCCTACCTATGTGTCTAAGGTAATTGTATTCCAGCACCACTCTATTTTCTAGATCCAGAACTCGCAAGAGTAGAAAGTTGGAAAGACCAGGCATATTCTCAGCATACCCAAAGATAGTGAGGGATCGAACATTAGAAACAATCATATTTGTTGGCACTATAATATCATCTCGGGCATGATAGTTGATGGATAGCCGACGAACCTTATCTTGTTGCACCAGCTTGTGATTTTCGTCACCACATAAGGTTAGAAAGTTTTCTTCAACTGATTTGGATATGATGAGATCAAGAATCATATCATGGACACGGCAAGCATCAGCCCGACCATCATACTGAGTTCCAACAGGCTGAATCATGCTCCTGTTGATAAGCTCATTGAAATAGCATTCTCCTATTTCCTCCATCCCTTTTCCACCTTCTGTAGTGATAAAACCTTCAGCAATCCATCTTCTTATCAATCGATCCCTCTTAATCTCATAATCTTCAGGAAACACACCTAGATATAACAAGCATGTCTTCAAGTGGTAGGGGAGATCATTGTAACTAAGCAAAAGAATCTTCTTCATCTCTTCCATATCTGTATATTTTTCAAGTGCTGAACCAATAGACTTCAGCATCTTCTCCCATTCTTCTTTTGTAATAACTTTAGTGAGCAATAAACTAGCTACTGTAATGATTGCCAATGGTAAGCCACCACATTTTTTCAATATTCCATTGGAAACTTCTTTCAGATGAAGAGGACATCTATCTTCAGAACCAAAAATTCTATTAAAAAATAAGCTCTTAGAGTGAGCTGCATCAAGAGGCTTCAGTTCATACACATGGTCATGGTGAGGAGAGCAACAATACTTAGCAACTGTGATGATGCGAGTAGTTGTCAATATTCTACTGGAACAATTATTTTCAGGAAAAGCACATCTGATAGTTCTCCATGCTGATGTGCTCCATATATCATCAATTACAATAAAGTACCTAACACGAATTTGCACAAATAAATAAATAGGCACACGTATATTCCTTCAAAGCAAGATTGTCATGAAAAGAATCAAATATATGATGCATACCTCTTATCCTTAAGGAACTGCCTTATTGTGTTGATGAGTTGCTGCTCATCCCATACTTCATTGCTGCCACACTCTCGGCAACGATACTGGCAGAGTATATGCCACAATATCTTCTTAATGTCAGGTTTTTGTGCCACCGACACAAAAGCTCTATAGTCAAATTGCCCTTCAAGCTTCCGGTACACTTCATTGGCAAGAGTAGTCTTCCCAAGCCCACCAAATCCAACAATGGAGAGCACACTCAGCTGTGTCGTTGTGCCCTCTCTTTCTGTTAGCAACTTGATAAGTTTGTCCCTTGGGCCATCAACGCCAACAAGCCTTGTTGTCTCAGTGTACAATGCCGGCAAGCGAGGGTCTATGCTTGTTCTACTCAATCTGGGGACAGCATCATCAACCCTGTACCTCCCATGCCGATTGCTAGCCTCTATAACATGGCATTTGAGACGTTTGATCTTCTTGGCAATCCAATGACGTGTCTTAACATCTGCAAACAAGTTCAAGCACCTACCAACAAACCCCTTGAAGCCTCTAGGTTCGCTGTTGGACTCACAACCAAGAGAGAACATGAAACTGTCGATGCTGTCCTCAATGTCGTAGGACAGCTCCCGCACCTCCTTCATCCAGCACTTGGACTGCTCGTCAGGGTCCTCCACCTCTGACATCTTCTTTAGGAAAGCATGAATGACCTCAAGCTCAGTTTTAAGGAACATCATATCCACCTTCACACTACTAAGAAGCTTGTACTCATCAGAGAGCAAGGCACCCAGCTTCCACAGCAAGGAGCCCATTGCTCCATGTGATGCACACACAATAGCTTCCATCCCCACCCCTCACTGCATCTGGTGTCAGTGTTTGTGTCTGTGCAACTTTCATGTTTGAAGGCTCTTCTTATACATGCTCAATAAGTCAACTACACATGTACAAGAAAAGGAAACGACTAAAGTATAAGAACAGAATAAAAGGAGTAAGCAGGTAAGCCAGGTAAGGAAATATTCAGGGAAAGGACATGGAACCTTAAGATAAACAAATAGATAAATAAGGTGACAGGTTTAGAGCAAAGTTGTAAAGATTTTCTTAAGGGCATCTATGATTAGTCAAACCACTAACTTAGGATCTGTCCAGTGTCTACTAAGATGACTACTACGTATGTACACATATGACAATATGGACGCCCGTGACCTGAAAAATTATAATTCAACATGGGACAGCGGGAGTTGTTTGAGCAGTACGGACTAGAATATTATGTCACATTGTTTATACTTCATACCAATCAGCCTCAGTTTCCAACAAGCTAAGCAATGCTAAACAAATTAGCAAATATAATGCCGGCCAAAGGAGCAGGTTTAGGAAGTTTTCTTTGAGCACACCAGGAGCAAGGGAAATTTCCAGTTTGAAAACCCAAGACCAGTGACCACAGGTGACTGGGTGAGGCTCATCTTTCGACATCATGGCATCACCCCTTCACAATGGTGAGAAGATTTTACATGGATTCTGAGCTTCTATTGGGGGAAGCACGCATCCACGAAGTATCCTAGCCTCTTACAGATGCTAACTGCCAAGCACACATGAGCAAGGAAAAGGAGACGACTAGGTGCATAATAAAAGGGGAGGAAAACAACTAGCTAGTAGTAATAATGTGACCTCTAAGCAGCAGTCCCTGTCTAACTAGTGTGCGGTCATGCCAAAAGAAAACGGGTTCCCGAATTGCACAGAGCAGATTTGAAAGATCACTGAATCTGTCAAGATTAAAGGCATGAAGCACTTATGGAATCATAGGAAAGAAGTGCGCAATTGCAGGCACTACTGTACTGCAAACTTCAAGGTTACTCAAGTCGTCAACAAGAAAGCAAGAAAAGGGCCTCGATTAGCCATGTTTCGCTCTCACCGAGCAGTTGAGCCACTACCTGAGGACAAATCACTATCAAATATCAAACTGCAACAGTCAACTACCGAATCAATCAAAGATAAGTCAAAGAACTCGCCTGTGACTTAATGATAATTTGAGCCCGAAAACAGGGACTGCGTGGAAACCTGCGATTTCTTGAACCGCCCAGCGCGAGAAAGAAGTGGCCGGTCGTCGGTCCAGCCCGCCAGGCGCCCGACGAGATCTCCCTGTCGGTCGACGGACCATCGCTGGCGGTATCACATCACATCCCAAAGGACTTTTACACGCATGCCATTAAAAAAGTTTATAATTACACATAAATCATTAAAAAGGTTGACCGCCACCAGTCCCTCACTCTCCTCATCTCGCTCGAGTCCTCTTCCCCCAAACCCTAGCGGCGACTGTACCGGCGGCGGGCGGGAGGAAGAAGCCAATACCCCATCTTTGCGGCGTCGGTGGGGAGAGAAGAAGACAATTCGGCCCTGCTTGCGGCTGCGGCGCGGAGAGAAGAACCCCCAATCCCCGTGCTTGCGGCGTGGAATGGGGTAATGAAGCAAAGAAGAGGAGGCCTGAAGGAAGAGACCGTGAATCCTCCGGATTGGGGGCGCATGGCCACGAACAAGGGGGCGGGCGCGGGTGACCGACCTCCCTGGCTTCCTGACGGGTGAGTACCAAATTTAGGGTTTTTCCACTTCGATTGCTTGGTCCTTGTGATTGTGGTCAGTTAGGTGTTTGATATGGCGTGATTTTAGATAGATAGATGTATGTGAACTCGTTGTTGTTCATCTGTAGGATGAATCCTGCTAGTAGCTACAACCTAGAAATCCGGATAATTGCTCGGTTAGGTCTTTCCACATGCTGAATATAGAGAGTGCATGTGGCATTTAGTTCAAAATTTTAAGAAAAAGTTCAGTGGTAAAATTTTTGATGATTACCTGTGGACATCTGTCTACTCTTGGAGCAAGTACATGTTTGAGAAATACTACCAGGCCATGGCTGTAGCCAAACCTGAGGCAATGAAGTACCTGCAACAGACTCACAAGAAGCTATGGACCAGAAGTCAGTTTGGCACAGATTCCAAGGTAAATTATGTAACCAATAATTTGACCGAGTCCTTCAATAACTAGATAAAGGAAGAGAATGCCAAGCACATTGATGATTTGATAGATACCATAAGACATAAGCTATTGATTAAATAGAATACTAGGAAAAAGGTGGCCAAGAAGATTGTAGGAAAGATTCTACCTCATGTTATGCAGTAGCTGAGGGAAGACAGCTTCAACCTAGACATTGAGGTCATCACAGAACATGATGGAGTTGTTGAAGTTTATGCTAAGGGGGGGGACTGGATTAAGATTTGTTGTGGACTTAAGAAACAGGATATGTTCCTGCAGGACTTGGCCAGGGTCAGGAATACCATGCAAGCATGCAATTGCCTACATAACATCTATACCGAGTGAAAAGCTAGAAGACCATGTGGATGAATGCTATTCTGTGGCCAAATTCAAAGCTGCATATGAAGGTGCCATCCCATCCATTCCTGACAAGTCTATGTGGCCTGATGCCACACATGGATTCTTCATGCATCCTCCCTTGCTTAAGTCCACAGCTGGTAGAAGAAAGAATAGGTGCAAAGAGACAGTTGAAGGAGGTAGCAAAATGAAATCAAAGAGGCATGAGTGTCCAATATGTCATGAGTTAGGGCACCACTGGTACACCTGCAAGACTAGGAGTCCAGCAGACATTGCTGCAATGGAGGCTGACAGGTGAACTTCTCATAACTAAAATTTATTCATATATGATATGAACTGCATTAAATAATCTAACATAACTAAAATTTCACCTGCAGGGGTCTGCCAAAGAAGAGGTAGAAAAAACAGCTAAAGCTAACACAGAGACAAACATTGTTGTGGCCATAGGGATGGTGTTCCCTCCCAATGAGGCAGTGGAGAATGCTGTACACAAGAAAAGAAAGAGAAACTCCTCTTCTTCATCATCTGTCTCCAAATCTAAGGGAGCAGCAATAAGTACTTCAGCCTCTACTACTACTCCTTTCTCTAGCAGGTATGTCACTTCTCCATTTATTTCTAATTTTTTGCAATGCCAACAGCTCAAACTAAACTTCATGTTTCATGTACCACAAGATCTGGAACTGGATCCAATGAACCAATTTCTATTCAAATTGTGCACCTTGCCCCTTATAATGAAGATGCTGCAGTTCAGCATGAGCCACAGGAAGCTTCAACTGCTACATTTCATACACCAAGGAGGAAGATTGAATTGAAGAAGAAGCTTATACCAAGGAAAGATGTGTATGCCACTCCAGCTAGGGGAACAAGCACCAAGGCTTTAGGTGACCCTTCCAACCCAGCTGCAAATACGAGAAGCAAGAAGCAACTGCTACTGGAATGAACAAAGGTGACTCCCCCATGCTGTACTCTTAGAGAACACCTTGGCTTTTGTGCTATGAAATGCTGATGTAATGGAGCTGTAATATTTTGCATGATCAGGACATGTAGTTTATGGTACTTGCTCTGGACAAACTACTAGTGTTAGATGAAATTGTGGTTTATAGTTTGCATGTTGGTGAACAATCTGAACCATGAGCACTACTTATGTTTGTAATGTATTAAGGTTTGTATGTTGGTAAATGAACAATCTGAGAATTTTATATTTCTGGACTGCAATCATCTATCCATCATTGACTCATTCATTCATTGATTCAAGCATACAAACACAGTGACACACACACATACATAGGACCCTACTTCTTCATAATTGCATACAAGGCAAGGAATATGGCAACAAAGACTAGCTTCTCAATCCATGTGAGCTGCTGCATAACCCTATCTTGCACTACTACTCCACCAGCCTGACCACATTCCTGGATGAGAGCCATTAGAGTGGGAGTAGGGATAGCAGCTGCTGCTGGCACTACCTGAAGAGGAACAGGAGACAAAGTTGCTGTAGGAGCCACTTTCTGTATACTAGTCTCCCCCATTTCATCCTCCCACTGATAGTACTAACAACCTCTAGCCTAAAAACCAAAGCAACACTAGATTATGAACCAAACAGCGGAAAACAACATTCTAGAGCCAAATAAATAGCATGTTAGCAACACAAACTGAAAAGTAGGGACACTTGTGGAAGACACAGCGCATGTTGCTGGTGGTCATCGATGTGAACCGATTGGCAAGCACACTGCAGTTGGGGCAAAGGACCCACATTACCCCCCGCCCTCTACTCACAAAGGCGCTTGAAGATTTAGACATGGCAGCACAGACCATGAAGAAGAGAGAGAACGATGGAGAGGGAACTGATTGGAGAGAGAACTGAGTGGGGGAGGGACCTCATTTATAGGAGCCACCCAGGAGGCTTTTTGGCGCCAAAGGCCCAATAGATTGGCGCCAAAGCACCATCACATTGCATCTTTCTTCCTGAGGGCATGCTGGTCTTTTTTCCCCTCCGTTACCCACAATTAGCGCAGAACAAGGACGAAATGGCATGTAAGGCAAAGAAGTTTAGAGCAGTGGCACCTGTGTGCGGTCACCTTTTAATGGCTTCTGTGTAATTACAAACTTTCTTAATGGCATACATGTAAAAGCCTCTTCCCCCAATGCCAGCCTAGGAGAATAGGAAGACAGCGCGGCCAGCAGGAGGAGAGACGGATGCGAGTAGCATCCATGCCCCGGCCTCTGTGCGGCGGCGCACCGACGACCGTGGCCGGAGGGAGGGAGAGAGGGAGGGAATTAGAGGCCTTGCGGGGCCATTTCTTAACTTGGGCTCTTGGCTAGGCTAATTTGTACTAGAACTGGACCTGTTTTCACTTTCAAATGGCCCTTTTTCAATAGTACTATATGGACTTAAATTGTGACAGTGGGGGCGCATAGGGTCGCCTGGTTGGCATTGAGCCCATCAAGCACATGGGACACTAGC